AAGATGTGTGCATGACATTCACGTGGGCAAGCTCCGTGGCTGTTAAAAACACCTGTCTAGAGTTGACAGGAGAAACGGAGGCTAGAGGTTGACCAGGGGATAGGTGGGTGCTGAGACCATGAAATTAAATAGCACAGACCAGGCCACTAAAGGGCAAAGATTTTGAGGGCAGGAGGAGTTTGATCATCCCTACAGCCCCTGGTATAGTACTTTGCATAATGCATGCAGAAACTATGAAAAATGCTCAGATACATGCATAAATATACCAATTTGGAAGTTGCTAGTAACACCTAGATGCCCAGAGACCTCCAATTTGGAGTCTTTGCAATTTTACAGACTTACTTGAGGGCCAAACTGGCAATAAGAAGAATGCAAGCAGCATACTAATATTCAAAGAGATTCTAGCCTTCCACTAAATTCCATTTAAAAAACTACTGTTATCACCATGTGTATTTCTTTGCATTTGGTCTTCCAGAGGATGCTATAAAATGAGGAAGCTGGGGTAATACAGCTTATCAGAATTAGGGGAGTTTAGTTGCAGTTGCTGGAACACAGAAATTGGTGTCAGTGTGTTTGACCTTTCGGAAAGTCATTCTGAGGGCAGCTTCATGGTGTTTTAGGAACTAAGCAATGTCTTCTTCAAATGTCATACAATGTTACAATTCTTTTGCATTTGCTCATTCTTCCAACAAACATCGTTTGAGCACTTCGTATGTTCTAGACACTGTGCTAGGGACAGAGGACATCTTCCCACCCCTCAAAGAGCTCACAGTCCAATACAATTAAAACATACTGTGAAGTATTATGATAGAGGTAAGCACTGTGTGCAGTTGAAGGCAGAGAAAGACAACCCAGCACAGAGGGGAGGAAATGAGGGTGGCAACATGGTTAGAGAAGTCTTTTCAGAAGAGACAATGCCTGAGCCAGGTGATACAAGGAGGGGATGAGGTTCCAGATCAAGAAGAGAGCAACTGTAAAGGCAAGGAAGAATAGAATTCATTGTGGCTGGACATGGAGGGGAATGGCAAGAGAGGAGCTAGGACAGGTGGAGAGGGACCTCATCAGGCCCTGATAAGCCCTTCCTATGGAGTCTGAACTTTTAGCCTGAAAACAATGGATAGTCGCTGAAGGATTCTTATAGAGGACTTCAGAATTTTTGTGCTTTTAGTTTTTGTCTTATTTTCCATTCTCCCTCCTTCTGTCTCTCTGTTTTGACAGTTTGTCTTCCTTCCTTCCTTCCTTCCTTCCTTCCTTCCTTCCTTCCTTCCTTCCTTCCTTCCTTCCTCTCTCCCTCTCTCCCTCCCTCCCTCCTTTCCTTCCTTTCTTCTTCCTTTCTCCTTCTTTCCTGTGAGCATGATTTTGGAAATTGCAGCTGATCTGGCCTATACCTAAAGGGCAAGTGATTTATTTATGTTTTGTCCATGCTTGGGCTGAAGAAAAAGAAGGGGTTGTAGATCCCAGAGACCTGAATTTTGGTGGTAGTAATAAGCAAAGTGAGAGAATCCCAGAAATAATTAATACCACCCAGAGGCTCTCCTTTACTCAAACCTGGAGATGCTTATGTTCAGTTTTGAGGAGGGGGGCGTTACCTCCAAGGTGTGGACAGGAATCTTAACTGGAGAGAGATCGACACTCTTGCTACTTAAAATGGGGTCCCTTTAGATAAGTGGAATTTCAAGCTTCAACCCAAACTTACTAAATCAGTATCTGCATTTTTAACAAGATGCCTAGGTGATTCCCATACACATTCAAGTTTGAAAAGCCCTGATCTACAATATAGGAAAACTGCTTAGCTGGTAAATCTTATGTCACAATGTTGCAATCTGTGTTGTTTTGCATGGCTGATTGATATGTAATCAGTTTGTCAACCTCTATGATTATAAATTTATGTCCCACAGTAAACTCAAATCAGGGGTTAAGCCACTTGTACTCCACTGAACATTTCCAAGAAATCTCCTTGGAACCAATGATGTTGAGATTCTTTTAAATAAAAGATTTGCTCTCTGACTGTTGGATAAAAGATTCATTTTTCCCTTTTTGTGACAAAATATCCATAACACAGATTTACCATTTTAACCATTTTTAAGTGTGCAGTTCGATAGCAGTAAGTACATTCACATTGTTGTGCAACCATCACCATCATCCATCTCCAGAACTTTCTCATCTTTTTTTTTTAAAGATTTTTATTATTTATTTATTTGAGAGAGAGAATGAAGGAGAGAGAGCACAAGTGGGGGAGGAGCAGAGGGAGAGGGTGAAGCAGACTCCCTGTTGAGCAGGCAGCCTGATGCGGGGCTTGATCCCAGGACTCCAGGATCATGACCTGAGCCGAAGGCAGACGCTTAACTGACTGAGCCACCCAGGTGCCTCAACTTTCTCATCTTCTTAAACTGAAACTCTGTGCCCATTAAATAATAAATCCCATTGCCCCCTCTCCCCAGGCCCTGGAAACCACCATTCTACTTTCTGTCTCTATGAACTCTACTCTAGGTGCTTCATATAAATGGAATCGTACAGTATTGGTCCTTTTCATATCTGGTTTATTTCACTTAGCATAATGTCTTCAAGGTTCATCCATGTTGTGGCTTGTATCAGCGTTTCCTTCCTTAAAAAAGGCTGAATGACATTCCATTGTATGTGTCTACCACATTTTCTTTTTTACCATTCATCCATCAACGACCACTTGGGTTACTTCTCTTTTAGCTATTGTGCATAATGCTTCTGTGAACATGGATGTAGAAAAATTCATTCCTATAATCAGCATTCATACCAGGCACGCAGCTCCCCTCTCCCAGCATCTCCACATTATTTCCCAGAGGTGTGCCACAATAAACATAAAATTCACAGCTAATGGATGTTCTCAATGAATTTTCTTTAATGTATCAATTCTCTAGTTGACTCCTCATTAAGAAAAGGGAATTTGCTGTTGTTGGGAATGAAATGTCTGTTCAATTTAGTGTCTCTGTCTGGGAGCAAGGGCCTCCTGAATATAAACTCAGAGCCAGAGCCAAGACATTAATCTGTGAAGCTCAAGTATTGATTTGGTGACGCCATTCTCTTCCCCTGATGCTATTCCTATCAACTCAAATTATCTCTGTGAATATAAGAACCATTTTTTTTCTGGGTGCACTGGGCAGCTGGTGACAAGCTGCTTGCTGATGGGCTGTGACAGAGATGAGCAGTCAGCTGCTCCTGGGCAGTCGAGGTCCTCCCCGCCAGAGTGTTGCTGGTCAAAGGAATTTGCAGCCCTGAAGCCAAGGGGCAGACCCACAAACACTTGGACAGACTCGGGCCTCCAGCCTGATTTCAGTGACCCCCAACAGCGCTCAGAGAAGGGGAAGAGCCCCTGAACTTATGGTGGAATTATTCTAAAGAATTATATAAAGGGCGTTATCTCCTCAAATTAATCACATTTCTTTTCTGGAATCTCCAGTTGACCTGTGCGGCTCCAGGAAGCAGATGGGACAGCTTTCCCTCGGGCATCCAGTGGGGGCGCTCTTACACTCTCATTTCATGCCCACTGTGTTTCACCCCTGGGTCAACTCTTTGGGTTATCAGATATGTGTGTGAAGAAGAGAGGGTTACAGTCCCACCAGCTCATTTGGAAAATAAACAATGAAACTCTGGATTTCACTTTCTGTGCAGTCACTTTTGCTTTGAAACTAAATCTGGACGTAAAGTTGGGACCAACACAAGTTTCCAATTTTCATGTTAATTCCTGGCCCTCGAGGATGATTAACTTTATCTAGAAACCGAAAACACGGTTTGGACTAATCTTTTATGAGATCTGATTAAGAGCTTTACAGCGAAGATTTGCACCACATTAGAAAGGCTCAAGCAATTTAGGAGAGTGCACATGTAAGGAATGTCCTTTTACCCGATTATAAAAAGAAGAGCTGGAAATCGCAAGAAAGGAAAGGGTAAGGACCGGCCTATTTGATCCAAGGAAAAAAGTTTGCATGTTGGTGAGCACATTTGAAGACTTCCCATGAGAACCCCTGTTGAAACCAAAAGACATAACATGATGAGGTTACAGGCATGTGGAGTCACAGAGCATGCGATGGGTTGTAAGGATCTGAGGGAAGTCTGGGGACCTGCATAAGATCCTAAAATATCGGTAGGCCACTGCTTAGAATTTACGCTCTGCCTCCTCCTGGGTTTTATCCTGATCTCTCCACTTGAAACGCCTTCCCCTGTCCTTTTTCCTCTCCATTAATACATGCTTATCAAAGTCTCTCCACCCAACACCTCACAGACTGACACCTCTTAGCCATGATCGTTCTTCGCACCCTTTCAAAATGTGTGTGTTTTGGACGCCTGGGCGGCTCAGTCAGTTAAGCATCTGCCTTCGGCTCAGGTCATGATCCCAGGGTCCTGGGATCGAGTCCTGCGTCGGGCTCCCGGCTCCCTGGGGTGTCTTGCTTCTCCCCCTGCCTGCCACTCCCCCTGCTCATGCTCTCTCATTCTCTCTGACAGGTAAATAAATAAAATCTTAAAACAAAAAACAAAAAACAAAATAAAAACACCACAATGTGTATATTTTATATGTCCTAGGGCAGCCTACCTGGCATTAATGAGACATTTCTTAGTGGTCACTTTTAAGACATTTTTCACATGTGTGGTTTGTGCTCCTAAACCAGTCCCTAAGTTCTTTGAGGTAGGGACTATTTGAGGGTGTATTTCTCTAGGGTGTCCTAAAGCTCAAACTTTAATATGCATGGGCCTCAATAGAGGATCTTGCTAAAATGAAAATGCTGATTCAGCAGGAATGGGATGGGGCTGAGATTCTGCATTTCTTTTTTTTTTTTCAATATTTTATTTATTTATTTGACATAGAGAGAGAGACAGAGACAGAGTGAGCACAAGCAGGGGGAGTGGCAGACAGAGGCAGAGGGAGAAGCAGGCTCCCCACAGAGATGGGGGAGCCCAATGTGGGACTTGATCCCAGGACTCCGGGACCATGACCTGAGCCGAAGGCAGTCGCCCAAACAACTGACCCACCCAGCCGCCCGAGATTTTGCATTTCTAAGCAGCTCCCAGGTATTGCTGCTGGTTGGAGGACCACCATTTGAGTAGCAAGACCCTAAAACGCCCAGGATGGTGCCTCAACATAAACAAGTAAAACTTTATATTGGTAGTAGTTCCAACCAAATTTCTCCTGTGAGAACCTGACCCCTTCAAGTAAATCCTATCTCACGATCAAAGGTAAGTCCTCTCCCCTTGGGTCATGACACTGCCCTCTAAACTAATTGAAGCCTGAGGACATGATTCTGTTATAATGCAATTGTTTGAATTTGTGTTTAAATTGGAGCAGTCTGAGTGGTTTTACTAATGTCATTTGAGAGGACTGGTGAATTATTTGGGTGTGCATGGCCCAGCCCTGATACGCTAGGCCACTCTTGGTAAGAGCCACAGTTAATACTAGCTGATCCCATAAACGGGAGCCCACACTAGCCTGCACAGAGTGTGGAGAGCCATAACTCGCCTTCTGGATAAGGGGCCCTCACTTTTCTCCCAGATGGGTTAAGTAGGTGGAGGCAGAAACCAAGCTTACTTTTGTTGACCTGTGTCCAGTTAAGTCTCTGTTCCCTGTAAGAAGTCCTGCTCAGAGGCCAAAAGCCCTACCTTAGTTTCACCTTCAAAACTAGGAAAATCAGTCTTTGACTATACTAAGCAGACTTAAATAAATGCTTTTGAACCAGGAGGTTCAGACCAGAAGGATTGGTGGGCATGAATGAAGCTACAGAAATGTCTGACTGGTCTCATGGCCTGGCACCGATAGAAGGCCAGTCCAGCCTCTCAGGACCTCGGTTTGCTTATCAGCAAAATCAAGGTGTTGGACTGGAGGCTTCTTATCAGCGCTAAGAGTCTGTGGTTCTGATCACCATATCAGGGAAAGGCACGGGAGACAAGAATTCCACACTTGGCTCCGTAACAGCACAATGTGACTGGGAGCCTCTTGGTGGGCTCTTCTCTTGCTGGTCTCAGCCCCAGTGCCTGTCCTAACCAGGCGCTAAGTTACCCTTTCCTAGACAATTGGGTGCCTCAGATCCGCCAGCCTGGTGTAGAAAGACTTGAAAAGATGTACCCTGTGCTGCCACCTAATGGCTCCAATTCTCTCAAAGCGATTCTTCAGCACCATTTGGATGTTACAGAATCTCTAGGCCCTCTATAAAACACAATCCACCAGCGATGAGAACCTAGGGTGAGAGAACAAACATAGGGTACCTCCAGGGGCCACCTCATCACGGGAGTCAGGGACTATGACTGTAAGAACCATAACTTTTTTTTTTTTAACTTGGTGATTTCCTCCTTGTTATTTCCTGTCTGTTTCCCCGTAATGATTAACAGTAAAACTCTAAAAACAAAAAGGGCCAAGGTGTTTGTTTTCAAGGGCAGCAAGGAAGCAAGGAACTGGGGGAGACAGCACTCCAGGGGTTGGGGTAAACAACTCCAGGGGATGGAGTGGGTGGAAGGAGCTGAATAGCTGGAAGGAAAGCAGGTTGAGTCCTCAGGCTCATTTGAAAAAGGAAAGAGGGGGTGGAATAAAGTTGTGTTCTAGTGGGAATGAAGGTAACGGTCTTAATAGCATTGTCATTCTTTCCTGTTTTGTCTTCAGATGAACCAGTCTATTTTCAATCCAAGAAGATGAAGCAAATGGATAGCTGTAGACTAGTGTTCTAGTTCAGGGGCCTTTGTAGGAAATGATACTCCTAGAGTGAAGATCCCAAATACAGAAGTCTCCAGAAGGGCCAGGCAGATAAGGTACCTGGCTGGGGTCTGCCATGGGTAAGACTGTCGCGAGTGGGGGACCGTGGGGAACTGGGGAGCACTTACCCCATCTCGGGAGGCAACAGATGCTCAGCCCTAGGTGGTTATGGCCCTAACCAAATTGTATGCTCACATTGCCTGATCTTTCAAATCTTCAAGAGAAGCTGGAAATTTAGATTATTATGTGAAGTCTCCTCATTTTTAAATGTTGGCAGCTAATGCTACTTTTAAAACAAACAACAGCAACATTGTGTGGGCCAAATAAAACATGTCAGTGAGACATATTTAGCCCAAAGGCCAACTTTTTGAAAACTGGACCTAAAGCAGTTTGCATTCTGGAATCTCAAAGCATTAAGAGGCTCCTTCTGAGGCATATGGTCTGTCAACAATAGCAAACTACAATCAAACAAGCAAATATCAGGTAAATTGGGGAAGTATTAAATGCTTTGCATTTAGATTTGTTGGTTTGTTGATTTATCATATCCAGGTGAAAGCCTTGAATACATTCATTCAATAAATCAAGAAGCATTGATTGAGCACCTAATATATGCGAAGTAACGGTAAGTAAAACTTTTTCTGTAAAGGGCCAGATAGCAAATATTTTAGGCTTTGAGGGCCAAATCGTCTCTATCACAACTCCTCAGCTCTGCCAGTTGTAGTTACAAAGCAGCCTAAGACAATACATAAACAAGTGGTGTGGCTGTGTTCCAATAAAACTTTATTTACAACAGACAGCAGTCCAGATTTGGTCCCTTGGCTATAGTATGCCTATCTCTGATCTAGAAAATCTTAGGGAATTTGAAGCCTAATGCAACAGTTTTCTTTAAGGAAATCTACATGTTTATGCTTTGCCTATTCAGACAAGGAATTAGGGTGATATCACTATGATTTTAAGTTATAAGTAGTTTACCCCAAATATTTCTCTGTTATCATTTAGTATAATACAGGCTATCATAATTATTCTATAAACATAAACAAGTTACCATAAACATTGGAAATAATGCTGATCCAACTAAGCTACTGAAGTTAGTTTGGCAAAACTATCTGAATATGAATTTAATTTAGGATAATTTTTCAGAAGGGGAACCATTTACATGAAAGAATATTGAATAGTTGGCTGAGCTAGTTATCTTAATGGTGTGATTCAATTCCTGTTTTGATTGCATGTGAAACTGTTGTGAATAGAAACATAAAGCTGAGCACACCTGCTTGTCCCCTGAGTCCTTTGGGACTTCCTACTTGGAACTTGCAAAAAGATGTTATAAAGAGAAGAAATGAAGAATATATCACTTTAAAAAAAAAGATTTTATTTATTTATTTGACAGAGAGAGACAAAGCGAGAGAAGGAACACAAGCAGGGGAGTGGGAGAGGGAGAGGCAGGCTTCCCGCGGAGCAGGGAGCCCGATGTGGGGCTCGATCCCAGGACCCCGGGATCATGACCCGAGCCGAAGGCAGTCACTTAACCGACTGAGCCACCCACGTGCCCAGAATATATCACTTTTATCTTTATATTCTCAGTGAAGTAATAGTACATAGAAGATGCTCAAAAAATTTTTGCTTTATGAATGGAAGGCAACAGACTTTGGTTGGCCATGGTAACTTCTTTAGATGTCACTTTTGTGAAATATTCACTAAAGATACCTAGCTATTTACATGCCTGTAGATACTGTGTTTTGGCACCCAAAAGCTATTTGTAGCTCCCTTCTTCTTCACTTTCTTCTACTGTAGACTGCCTTGCAGGGAAAGGGACCATGATGTTCCAATTCTGGCCAACAAGATAGAAACATAAGGATCTGCTTGGGGCTTCTGAGAACATTTCCTGATAGGGACTGATTCAGTTTGACCTCTTATCCCTTCCCTCTTCTTCCCGACACAGATACAGTACCTTAGAATTTCAGTAGCCATCTTAGAATGGGACAAAAGCGACAGACTAAGGATGGTGGAGTAGAAAGAAAGAAGAAGCCTTGATGACATCATTGAGCAGCTTCATTAGCCCTGAACTGACCACATTTGGCTTTATTACATGAGAAGAGATTTAGTCCCCATGGGGTAAAGCCATTGTTTGGCCTTCTATGACTTGCAACCCAACCCAATTCTATCTGTTTGGGGACTACTTAGAGTTTCCTTCTATTCTTTTTTTTTTTTTTTTTAAAGATTTTATTTATTTATTTGACAGAGAGAGATAGCAAGAGTAGGAACACAAGCAGGGGGAGTGGGAGAGAGAGAAGCAGGCTTCCCACGAAGCAGGGAGCCCGATGTGGGGCTCGATCCCAGGACCCTGGGATCGTGACCTGAGCCGAAGGCAGACACTTAACGACAGAGCCACCCAGGCGCCCTAAATTTCCTTCATTCTTATACTCCATCAACATTGCTCAGGAGATGAAATTTCTAGCATCTAATGCAGCTGTATTAATTTTCTGACTCTTCCTGTGCCACTTTGAAAAGTTGGGTTAAAGACATTTAAAATCTTGTTATAAACTCAAATAATATATGATGATCAAAATTCATTCGTATTCTTAGGAAGAAGTGCTATTACAATACATCAAGTTCAAAGAAAATGTTTTACAACATAGCTTCTAAGAGTATCAAAGGTATTGTCAACAGATTGTTTCTGAATTTGTTTTAGGTAGCAAACACTTTATGCCAACGAACTATTCAAAAAGTATTTAATAATATATGAATGTGGCCTACTTTTTAGAGTTTCATGGCCCCCAAACCATCATATTTTGTGACATATACATTAGCTTTTAAAGACCTTTCAAATCTTGGATTTTAGGAGCACCCAGTTGCCAAAATTTGGGCAATTTGGGCATCAAAAAATTAATGATGGTAATGGATTACAACACATTAAATGAAATGTAAAAAAAAATCTATGAGTTCACAGTGATTCAAAAGCATGCCAGCTAGTAAATGTAGATGAATAGGGGAGTTTGCAACTGCCAATATAGTAATTGCTTCAGTGTACCATCATTAACAGATGCTAAAGCTATTGAGTGAAAGGTTGTTAGGGAACAAGATAATCACATGGCTTCAAAGTAGCATCTCAGAGATCAGTTAATAATTCCAAAAGGAAAATGTATCTTTACCATGGTGAGACCTGGTAGACATACTCTTTAACCAAGCAATCAAACTTTGGCATCACCAATGGTAAGACAATGGGCAGCCTTCTGATCTTACACACTAAGGGGTACACAACACCCCCTATGCAGAATTCTTTCCTGAATCTAAACAAGGAAATAGTCAAGCAAATCCAGAATTTAGAAAAAACCTGTAAGACAACTAGCTTAAAGTGTCATGGAAACCACCAAAAGGCAGAGATTTTTCTTGGCTAAGAGGGAGTAAGCAGATAACAACCAAATGCAATGTGTAAATCTTCATTAGACTCCACTTAGAGGAGAAAAAAGTCTGCTTATGAAAGACATTTTTAAGATCTTAAAAAAAAAAAAAAGAGGGACCCCTGGGTGGCTTAGTCCATTAAGCATCTGACTTTGGCTCAGGTCATGATCCCAGGGTCCTGGGATCAAATCCCGCACCTGGCTCCTTGCTCAGCAGGGAGCCTGCTTCTCCTTCTGCCTGCCGCTCCCCCTGCTTGTGCTCTCTCTCTCTCTCCCTCTCTCTGACAAATAAATAAATAAAATATTTTTTTTAAAAAGACAATTTTAAGACCATTGGAGAAATTTGAATATAGAGAATATATTCAATTGTATTATTGAATTAATGTTAATTTTCTTAGGTGTGTTAGTAGTGGTATTGTGGTTATTTATTAGAATGTTTTTTTCTAGAAGATCCATATTTTAGGCATTTAAGGGTAAAGTGTCATGATGACTGCATCCTACTTTTTTTTTTTTTTAAGATTTTATTTTTAGGGGCACCTGGGTGGCTCAGATGGTTAAATACCTGCCTTCGGCTAAGGTCACGATCTCCAGGTCCTGGGATCGAGCCCCATGTCGGACTCCCAGATCAGCGGGGATTCTGCTTCTCCCTCTTCCTCTGCCTCTCCCCCTCCTTGTGGTCTGTGTGTGTGTGTGTCTCTCTCTCTCAAATGAACAAATAAAATCTTTCAAGAAAAAATTTATCTTTAAGTAATCTCTACACTCATCATGGAACTCGAACTTACAACCCTGAGATCAAAAGTTGGGGAATATTAAAGTGGAGACTTAGATACATAAATGAAAGGAGCACAAAGATTGGTTTAAGGGGTATTGAGATAATGTCCAAGTTTTCTACACTATTCTAGGATATGCTGGTTTGGTTTCACCTGGAGAATCCTGCACCTCTTTATCACACAAAGTTGTATCTCAGGCAGACTAGGCTGAATCCCAGCCAGGGTGATCACCTGTCCTGGTTTGACCAGGACCAAGGGATTTCCCAAGAATGGGACATTCAGTGCTAAAATTGGGACAGTCCTGGGCAAACTGGCTCTAAGGTCACCCTAATATTTCTACTTACCACCTATGTGACCTTGAGCAAATCATTTAGCTTCTCAGAGTCTTGGTTTCCTCATCTATAAGAAGGAGAATATATATGTGCTACAAAATGGATGAACCTTGAAAATATTATGCTAAGTGAAAGAAGTCAGACACAAACATCATATATTATAGGATGATTCCATTTATATGAAATTTCCAGAATAGGCAAATCCATAGAGACAGACAGCAGATTAGTGCCTGCCAGGGCCTGGAGGGTTTGACTGTTAAGGGTTATGAGATTTCTTTTTGGGATGATGAAAATGTTCTAGAATTAGATAGTAGCAGTTGTACAGCCCTGTGCATATACTAAAAAAAACACTGAATTGTACATTTTAAGAGGGCAAATTTTATGGTATATGACGATATCTCAATAAAGCTGTTATTTAAATAATTGAGTAACACAGTATCACCAACAATTCCACTCTTAGGAATAGGTAAATCTATAGAGACAGAAACAAAATTAGCGGGGCACCTGGGTGCTCAGTCATTAAGCATCTGCCTTCAGCTCAGGTCATGATCCCAGATTCCTGGGATCGAGCCCCGCATCAGGCTCCCTGCTCAGCAGGAAGCCTGCTTCTCCCTCCCCCACTCCCCCTGCTTGTGTTCCTGCTCTCACTATCTGTCTCTCTGTCAGATAAATAAATAAAATCTTAAAAAAAAAAAAGAAACAAACAAAATTAGCGGTGACCTTGGGCTGGGAGGAATGGAGGAGAATGGGGAGTGACTGCTCCTGAGAATGGGGTGTCTTTTTGGTGGGATGAAAATGTTCTAAAATTGACTGTGGGAATGGTTACATATCTCTGTCAGTATGCTAAAAACTATTGAATGGTACACTTTAAGATTTTATTTATTTATTTGAGAGAGAGAGAGAGATCAGGAGCAGGGCAGGGATGGGGGAGAGAGAGAGAGAGGGAGAGAGCATGAGTTGGGTGAGGGGCAGAGGCAGAGGGAGAAGCAGGCTCCCCCCTGAGCAGGGAGCCCGATGTCAGACTCGATCCCAGGATCCTGGGATCATGAACTGAGCAGAAGGCAGATGTTTAACCAACTGAGCCACTCGGGGGCCCCATTTGAATGGTATACTTTAAATGGGTGAATCGATTTGCATGGTATGTGAATTATACCTCAATAAAGCCATTAAACAGGTAATATGGTAAAAGTATTTTAGGTTAAACAAAGGAGATTATAATACCTGTGTGAGGTCTAAATGAGTCTTTGCTCTCATAATGCTCACACCCCCTCCCAAAACACACTATCACACCAAATCATCATTGTGTAGGCTTTTTTCCTTGCCCACTGAGCTGAGAACCCTTTGATAACAGAAACTTTCTAATTCACGGAGGGCCAGTTTCCTGGGCATGGAAACTACTCAGTCCCACAAGACCCTATACTCAGAAGAGCACCACATTTGGTTTAACGCTCTGCTGTCACTGTCTTGAAAATTCTTAATATCTGAACGAGGTGCAGGCGCCCCTCATTTCCATTTTGCACTGGGCCCGGCAAATTTTGTAGCTTACTGAATCCACCTTTGTACCCCCAGCATGTAGCACAGTACTGATGCTCAGTGGGTGTTCTCTATCCCAATTCCAGTACCCTGAGACTTTGCTCAGAACAGCTCATTGACTTTCAACACAGATTTATCCAGAGTCTATTATGTGCCAGGAAGCGTGTCAGCAGCTGGGGACACCGTGGGGAGCCAAAGCAGGCAGCAGGCTGCGGCAAGGGCCCGGCTCAGAAAGGAGGCTGTTCCCGTAGGTAAATGTGCTCACCTAACCACTTGTCCCAGACAGCAATGACAACATTTGACTCATTTGTACTTTCAGTTCAAGAAAAACACATCACCTTGGGATCCAATTTTGCAAGTTCTGCTTATCACAGGAACTAGAAGACTCTGATGAATGAGGATGGGACTTCAGTTCTTGTCCATGGTGTGAATAAAAAGTCGACTCTGCCTTTTTTGGTCTGTCCCATTGACATCTATCGTTAAAGAGATCTGTCAGGACCTTTTAATGCCATTTAGTTCCTATGTACAAAACACTAGACTAGGCACTGCTGCTGCTGGGAAGATTGCAGCTGGATCTTTTTAAGCTTGTCACACGAGCTCTTTAGGTAGTGATTCTGGTGGGCTACAACGTCATGGCAAGTCAGCAGAGAGCCCCTTGAGTCAAGACCCTGAAATTCCTGATAGACCTGCCTTCCACTTGCTAGATGTTCTTTATTATGGTGAATTCCAGAGGCAATTCCTTAATCTCTCTGAACTTCAGTTTTCTAATCAGTTCATACAAGGCTGGTGTCAAAGGGCTATTGTAAAGATTAAAAGAGATAGTGCACGCCTAACTTTTGGCACGGTGTCTGGCACTTAGTAAGAAAGCCACAATAAAAACAAAGGCTAAAACATTCTGTAAAACTGTGTTGTTTTACATCTTAATGGCTAAATAGGACTGTTCCTGGCATACAGCCACACATCATAAAATACTTCGGCCTGCAGCTGCTATTCCACTAGCTAGAGGTGAAGGCAAACAGTTCTGACCAGTATCTACCTAACTCTTTAAAGTCAGTGAGGTCCTCTTCCTCCCTCTCAGCCTTGGTGGGGACCCCACACCTGGTTCCCACACTCCTGGGTGCAGTGTCTGTCTGGAGGAAGGCTAAGCGAGGGGGGGCTGGAATGCCTGCAACGGCTGGTGGGACCACCGAGGGGACAGAGTTGGACCTATCCTGGCATCTTTAGCTTCTCTGGAACCTGGAGCCCACACCTCCCTAGCACAGTCTGCTCACTGAACACCTAAACACCTGGGTTCTCTCCCACCACCACCCATCATTGGTCAGTCATCAGAAATGGCTGCAAGGCAGCTTTCTTCAGCTGAGGAAGGTCAATTCTTGGAGAAATGTTGATCTGAGAGCTATCAGTTGACTCTCCCAGCAGGTGAGAGAATGACTGCCTCCATCCTGAAGCAGGGAATCTAGGGAGGCAGCACATCACAGCACCCACGACAACATCAAATGGTAGGAATTTCTGTCCTATATCCCGGTCATTTCTAGGACTTCTGAAACAAGGATGAACTGGGGGGATGATAGAGAATCATGAGATATGTCATCAAATTTCATAGCTGGTTATCTGGGAAAGTTCACTGAAAACTGCATATAGTACAGTTATGTGTTCCTAACCAATCTTAGAGTTGATCCAAGCAAAAAATCTCTAAACAGATCTACAAAAAGTACAAAGAAGTCTTTACCATAAAGTATCTACCCATTACAAGATTGTGTTTACTTTCTTTTAAAATCTTCATTGTTGTATAGGTGTAATGTTCACATAATCAAAAAACAGCAACAAAAAGGACTTGGTTTCTGGAAATTGACAGGACTGGGTCTGATCCCAGCTCTGTAACTTATTCTGAGTGACTTCTATATAGTGACCTGTGTAGCGAAAATAATATTACCTAACACACCGGATTAATGAGAAAATGTACCTGGAGTACCCAGCACATTCAAATTTTTCTTTCTTTTTTTTTTAAAGATTTTATTTATTTATTCATGACAGAGAGAGAGAAAGAGAGAGAGGCAGAGGGAGAAACGGGCTCCCAAGGAGCAGAGAGCCCAATGCAGGACTCGATCCCAGGACCCCGGGATCATGACCCGAGCTGAAGGCAGACGCTTAACCATCTGAGCCACCCAGGCACCCTGCAATTTCTTAATAAATGTTTCTTCTTCTTCTTTTCCTCCTCTTTGTCATTATTATTATTTAGTCTGAATTTCCCTGTGTGAGCACAGGAAAAAATACTGGGTTCTTACTCTGTAGTTACTGTTCCAGTAATCCACACGTATAGTCTATTTTTTATCACTTTTTTTTTTTTTTTTTTTTTTTTAGTATTTAATGAAATTCCCATCCTATATCCACTTTATGATGTTCCCACCTCTGGCCCTAATTTGACAATGCATGAGGCCTCTTTCTTAACAAATTTTAGTGTCATTTGAAAAATATGTTTACTAGGAAATCTCTTTAACTGACCTCAATTCTGTGGGCTGTTGTATCTCTTAACACTGAGTAAACAATGGGAGATTTAAATCACTTGGCCCACTCACCAGTGAAACTGTTTTCAAAGATCATCTCCATTTCATTTCCGCAGTAAGTAAAAACTATTCTGGCTGAGAAGATCATAGCCCTATTTGGGAATGTCCTTGAGATCTTATATATGGCCAGGATTAACCCTAAAGGCAACACTCACTGTTTGAGAGGCCTTGTGCCATATAAATGAATCAAACACAGATCTTATCTTCAAGAAGTTGGAATTTATAAAGATACGACATGTATATAAAGAAATTAATACAGGATGCCTGGGTGGCTCAGTTGGTTAAGTGTCTGCCTTTGGCTCAGGTCATGATCCCAGGGTCCTGGAATCGAGTCCCGCATCGGGCTCCCTGCTCAGTGGAGAGCCTGCTCCTTCCTTAAAAAAAGAAAAAGAAGAAAGAAATTAATACAACATAGAAAGCAGTAAATTTCTATTATGGAGTGAATGGGTTGCCCCAAAATTCGTATGTTGAAATCTTAACCCCCAATATGATGATATTAGGAGGTGGGTCTTTGGGAAGTGATTCAGCCCTCACGATGGGGATTAGTTCCTATAAAATTAGTTCCTTTTATATTAGTTCCCCAAAGAGCTCTCCCACTTCTGCTGTTAGAGGACACAAGAAAGTGGCCATCTATGAACCAGGAAGTGGCTTCATCAGACCCTGAATCTTTTGGCAGCTTGATCTTTTTTATTTTATTTTATTTTATTATGTTATGTTAATCACCATACATTACATCATTAGTTTTTGATATAGTGTTCCATGATTCATTGTTTGCGTATAACACCCAGTGACCATGCAATATGTGACCTCTTTAATACCCATCACCAGGCTAACCCATCCCCCCACTGCCCTCCCCTCTAAAACCCTCAGTTTGTTTCCTGGAGTCCATATCTCTCATGGTTTGTCTCCCCCTCCAATGTCCCCCCTTCATTTTTCCCTTCCTACTATTTTTTTTTAACATATATTATTTGTTTCAGAGGTACAGGTCTGTGATTCATCAGTCTTACACAATTCACAGTGCTCACCATAGCACATACCCTCCCCAATGTCTATCACCCAGCCACCCCCTCCCTCCCACCCCCACCATTCCAGCAACCTGTTTGTTTTCTGAGATTAAGAATTCCTCATATCAGTGAGATCATATGATACATGTCTTTCTCTGGTTGACTTACTTCGCTTAGCATAATACCCTCTAGTTCCATCCACGTCGTTGCAAATGGCAAAATTTAGTGTTTTTTTGATGGCTGCATAATATTCCATTGCGTGCGCACACACGTGTGCGTGCGTGTGTGTGTGTGTGTGTGTGTATTCCACATCTTTATCCATTCATCTGTTGATGGACATCTTGGCTCTTTCCACAGTTTGGCTATTGTGGACATTGCTGCTATAAACATTGGGGTGCACGTACCCCTTCGGATCCCTACATTTGTATCTTTGGGGTAAATACCCAGGAGTGCAATTGCTGGATCGTATGGTAGCTCTATTTTCAACTGTTTGAGGAACCTCCATACTGTTTTCCAGCGTGGCTGCACCAGCTTGCATTCCCACCCACAGTGTAGGAGGGTTCCCCTTTCTCTGCATCCTCGCCAACATCTGTCGTTTCCTGACTTGTTAATTATATTGGCAGCTTGGTCTTGAACTGCCCAGTCTCCAGAACCATGAGAAATAAAATTCTGTTGTTTAAGCCACCCCGTCTATAGTATTTTTGCTATACCAGCCTGAATGGACTAAGACAATGTCATAAGACAAATACAGAAAAAAACCCACAAGTTCAGGAAAAGGTTTATTTCTGATTGAGAAAGTTGGGAAAGGCCTTGTGGAAAAGGGAAACAGCATACTGACCCTCATGCTTGGGCCTGGAGAGATGGGAATAAATTGGACATGCAGGAATAAGAGTGTCGTGGAAAGAGAAAATTACTACCAGTATTAAAAAAAAAAAAAAAGTGATGGTGAGGCGCGTGGGTGGCTCAGTTGGTTAAGTGTCCAACTCTTGGTTTTGGCTTAGGTCATGATCTTGTGGTCATGGGATCGAGCCCCAAATTGGGCTCTGTGCTCAATGCAGAGTCCGCTTGAGATTCTTTCTCCCTCTCCCTCTGCCTCTTCCCACTTGTGTGCACACACTCGCTCTCTCTCAAATAAATCTTAAAAAAAAAAAGTGATGGTGGCAGTTTCCACATCATGGGAAATGCTACGATTTCCTCTTCGTTTTAGGAAAAACAATTGATGGACCTTTTGGTTACAAAAAGCAAGGTCTAGGGCGAAGAGGAAAAGTAGAAGTCAAGAGGCAGCTGAATTGCCCTGAAGAATCCAATAAACTAGTGTCTCCCTTGGGATAAAGAGGGTGTTCCAGAGTGAAATGATATTGACTTCCTTTTGAGAGGCTCAGGGCAGGAGTTTTTGGGGGGCTTAGAACTCGAAGAAGTAAGGAGGCAACAAGATTCTATGAAAAGAACTCAGTTGGCAATAGGGCAGCAGGTTGTGGGTCATGAAAAATGGCCAATAACTAAATTCCCTATGCCCGGAAGGGCCAACCAACTTCAGTATTGGCCACGCCTATTAAATACCTCCACTATCCCATAAACTTCAGTATGGTCACATCATTCTTCAAAAGCTAGGACAGGGGTTCAGGGCAGGAGGTGAAAATCCCCAACCCGGAGAAGGTAAAAAAGCTCTGGGTAAATTCAGAAATATTGAGGAAGGGGTTGAATTTCCTATAGGAGGGGGCTCAAGTTCAGGGAACTGTGATCTGTGAAGGCTGGAGGACTTAGGGAGATGGAGAGTACATGACTGGCAGGAAGAATAAAAACACAGAGGGAGCTGTGGTTGGGCTGAAACAAAGGATAATAATAATAATAATTAATATAATACTAATAATAGCTAATACTTCCAGAGTGCTCACCATGGGCCAAGCACTGAGCTGTGCATGCATTAACCCATTTATTTTAGAAAGAGGGGCTGCAGTCAGATCATGGGATGCTCGATTGCCAGGCTAAGGAATGCAGACATATTTTACTGACAGTGGGGAGATTTTTGAGCAGGTGTTGTTATGAAGTAAAAGACAGGAATCAGAATTGCTTTGATAGGGGAGCCTGAAGACCCCCTGAAATTTTGAGTAATAGTGAATCACACTATTTGTGTAAATAGCCACATATTTCTTTTTTTGGGGGGGTCTTTTTTTAATTTAAATTCAATTAATTAACATATAGTGTATTATTAGTTTCAGAGGTAGAGGTCAGTGATTCATCAGTCTTACATAGTACCCAGTGCTCATTACATCACATACCTTCCTTCATGCCCATCACCCAGTTACCCCACCCCCCCACGCCCCTCCCCTCCAGCAACCCTCAGTTTGTTTCCTAATATTAAGAGTCTCTTATGGTTTGTCTCCCTCTCTGGTTTCGTCTTGTTTTATTTTTCCTGGGCTTGTTTCTTTTAATAACTAGAATCCTGCTGCATGTATTGTTCTTTGATGTGCTTGTTGGAGATGTTCTCAGCCTAGCACACTCCTTTTATCCATTATCCATTCCACAGAATTAAAAATATGGAACGCTTCATGAATTTGCATGTCATCCTTGAGTAGGGGCCATGCTCATTGTCTCTGTGTCGTTCCAATTTTGGTATCTGTGCTGCCGAAGTGAGCACAGTCATATATTCCTTTTTCTGGGGAGAGCCGATTACTTCCAACCAATCTTAAAGGTGTCTGAGACTTCAAACAATGCTACGAATCACTGACTTAGCAGTTTCAAGCCTAGATGAGCAGCAGCATAATAGTAGCATTGAAGGAAAAAGGGGTCCCAGGGAAAGAAGGAAACGTGGGGTTGGCTGCAAGAGTAGACATGATCACGTCCCTCTGTGATCTACTGCTTTGACGAGGACGCTGTAGGTGGATCTTCCAGCCGGCACTAGAGATGGAGAACCCAGCCCTCCAGAGACCATATGCTGCCGCTGCAGGCAGGAACCTGACCTCCATCACAAGCTGGAATTTTAATGACATTTTCAAGGAGAACAGAAAAAAAGGCCAAGGACAGATCTTTGAATATATTGAATCTGCAGTGCTTCTTCCTAAGTGCTTTCTGACATTATTTTTCTCTACCCAGGAAACTCACATTTTGAACTTTAGTTCCTAAAATACATTCAGTCACACTGTGGAGGGGCAGGAGGGGTGCACATAATGACTACTTATGTGGTTCACTTCTCATCTGAGGAAATTATCTTTTCAAAATGATCAGGTGCACCTGACCCTGTTAGAAAGGCGTGTGGGTATTTTTGAGCTAAGTTAGGAAGTGTGTAGGATCATTGTTATCACTCAGGATCTACTTCTAGCCCAGTGTTGGAATCTCAGGAACCCACAGAATTTCTCCTTTCCCTGGAGAGGAAGAAAAAGATACCTGTTACTCTTTCCCTGCTCATGCCAGGAAAGCTACTTAAAATATTTAAGTTGATACAAATTGATAGCTTCTTCCCCAATCAATGGTCCCCACCCAGCTTTACTACTGTGTGGAAATACCTCAAAGAATAGTCAGCATTTTCCCAAGAGTTTGTGGAATTTTGTGTGGGTATGTGATTTCAAGAAGAAAGGAGCAGCAGTTCTGATCTGTCACACCCAGAAACTACTTAGTTGTCAACATCATGGAACTTTGTAGAAGCAGTAAAATGTCTGTAAATGGCCGTCATGGTCACCATAGCTAACCAGACACTGGGTTAAGGCCATATATTCATTATTCATGTAATCACCACAAAAATCCCGTAAGATAACTTTTGTGTATGGGTCTGATTTTATGGATGCAGAAATTGAGGCCTAGTGAACAAATTCATGTTCCTAACCACTGCCAGATTATTCCTGCTTTCCTCTGGGGCATGACCCATCTGCAGACCTTCACACGGCTGCAATCTAGCCTTTGGGCCTGGGCCATCCAGTCAAGCGGGCAGTCGTAAACACCCTTAGATCTTCCAAGGTACACGTGAACTCTGCTTACCTAGGCATCCTTCTCCCTGGCTCTGAACTTTGCCTGTCTGGATCTAAATGTTCTCACTTCCATGTGAACTTCAAACATTGCTGGTTTCCCTTAGTGAGGTTGGGCCCCACTACCTACAGAAGTTGGGGGCACCACTAAAGAAACAGGGACCTGGATTCAACACACCCCCTGAAGTGAGGCCAGTCCTAAGAAAACACTCAACTTTTGCAGGCAGACAGAAAAAATACTGGCAGATTAGAGATATGGAGATGTACACCCAGGGGTGAGAGGGAGCTAGATCTCTGAAGGGGAGCATCTAGATGGGCAAGACCAGGTGTTGTAGGGCAAAAAGCACAACCCAGAATATCAGAGGCTTGCTGATAGGCAGGTAGCCCAGTGGTGAGAAATTCCAGAAGGATCAATATTTAAGAACCAAGACAGGTGTCATGGGATGGACTTTCCCCCCTGTACCCCCTGTTATGGGTTGAATTGTGTCTCTTCAAAATTCATATATTGAGGTCCTAAGTTCCAGGACCTTAGAATGTGATCTTATTTGGAAATAGGGTCCTTACAGATGTCATTAGTTAACATGAGGCCATTATGGCGGGGGGGGGGTGTTCCTAATCCAATATGACTGGTGTCCTTAAAAAAAAATGGGTAATTTGACAGACACACAGACACACACACAGAATGTCATGTGAGAGTAAAGGCAGAGATCAGGGTGATGCTTCTACAAGCCAAGGAATGCCAAAGAAGGCCAGCAAACCCCAGAAACAAGGAGAGAGGCACAAAACAGAATCTTCCTTACAGTCCTTAAAAAGCATCAATGCTGCTGACACATGGGTCTTGGACTTCTAGCGGCAGGAACTGCGAGACAATAAATGTCTGCTCTTGAGGCCACCCAGGTTGCGGTACTTTGTAAGAGCAACCGTAAAAAACGAACACACTCCCTTTCTCTAAAATTGTAGATCTGTTCCATTCTGCTTCTGGCCAGTCTAGTCCTGGTTTCCTGAACCAAGTCCTCAGAGGAAGCTGATGCAAGCCGAGAGCTTTTCAACAAAATGGCTCCTGCAGAGTTTGCAAGGTACGCAGAGCTCACTGGAAGTCAGCAGGCCATGGGTGCCTCTGCACTGTGAGGACATTGTGTCCTCTATGCACTGGGGCTAATGGGAGGGGGTCCCCAGTGTGGAGCTAGGTGCTAACTCTCTGGGGGATCGAAATATTCAACCCCAAGTCTGGAGCACAGTTTTTGCTTAACCTGGCTCCTAATAATCTTTGCTCTCAGCCTCTCACCCCTTCACTGTCATCAGGCTGTTACCAATTTGCCTTTAGTCACCTGATGAAGGCAGCAGGTTTCCATGGTTACCTACAAGCATGCAGCCAGGTGTCATTCCTTAGAGGCCGCAGGATAAAGCAAATAACAGGGTCTCTGGCACAATAAAAAGGACCTGGATCCAATGATCAAAATGGGGTCCTGGGGGCAACTGGGTCTCAGAAGCAAGTCAGAAGCCCAGGAATGAGAGCTGGGCATGAAGGCAGAGGCAGAACAGCAATCCTCCAGTAAGTACTGCCGGCTGCCGGATGCAGAGCCCTTGCTATGACCCAGGTGCTACACCCCCTACTTCATGTACCTTATTTCCTTTTGGTCCTTGGTTACTAAAGCCCTCTGTTTTAACAAAGAAGGAACTGAGTTTACATGACGTATTAAAGATCACGCAGCTGGTAGGTCAGAGAAAGGATTTGAACCCAGGTGCGGAATATCTTCCATCTATCCCTGCAGATCTGCTTTCTGGTCTTCTCCACCCCATAGGCTGACGTGCATGGGCTGCATCCACAGCCTCCCTCACCCCTAGCTCCGGCTGAGTCTGGAAAGCCCTGCAGGTAAAGGGGGAGGAAAGGAGAGGCTGCTTCCGGCTGGCTGTGCCCCGGGACAGCCACCTTTCTAGAATCCTCTTCCATTCTCTCTCCTTGTGTGTGTGTGAGTCTTGGGCTGCTATTCTTGGCAGTTACTGCTCTATCCCTTGTGGTTGCCCAGGACCACTCTTTTGTAGGAAACTCCTTTCTAATCATCTTCTTCCTGATGAGACCCTGACTGCGACAGCAGGTCTGACAGGTGCTAGCGTCGAGTCCCAGAGTGCGGGGCCAGTGCTCCTTAAACCCCGGCAGCCGGGGCGCCTGGGTGGCTCAGATGGTTGGGCGTCTGCCTTCGGCTCGGGTCGTGGTCCCAGGGTCCTGGGATCGAGGCCCGCATCGGGCTCCCTGCTCAGCAGGGAGTCTGCTTCTCCCTCTGTCTCTGTCTCTCTCTCTGTCTCTGTCTCTCATGAATAAATAAAAAAAATAATAATAAACCCCGGCAGCCTACAGACAGGACTGGTCTCTGAGATCTGGGGCTGTGGGAAGACATGCTGAACCTGAGGTGGCTGTCCGGTGGTTTGAAGTGTGGAGAGAGGGCCACAGCCCAAACTAGAGAATTAAGTAGGGTCTGATACTCGCCTCCAAGGACTTTCACTTCCTGCATGGCCTTTCCTGTCCTGGCAGCTCCCTAGTGTTGAGTTACGACAATGAGTTTAGCTAACTCTACATTCGGAGTGAACAAGGCTGCTCTCACTTCAGACACCAGCTACCCGTTTGTGGCTTCCCAGGACCATCCTCATTTCAGACTAGCTGGCTATACATTCAGAGATTCCTATGACCACCCTCAATTCTATAATTTGCTGGAACGACACACAGAACTCAGGAAGCACTATACTTATGACTACTGGGGTTTGTTTTTTGGTTTTTTAGATTTTTTAATTTATTTGAGTGAGAGCACAAGTAGGGGGAGCGGCCGGCAGAGGGAGAAGCAGGCTTCCCGCAGAGCAGGAAGCCAGACGCGGGACTCGATCCCAGGACCCTGGGATCATGACCTGAGCCGAAGGGAGTCGCTTAACCGACTGAGCCACCCAGGCGTCCCACTTACGATTACTGTTTTATTACAACAAAAGAATACAAATTAAAATCAGTCAAGGAAGAGACATAAGGGCAGAGTCCAAACAGAGCTTCTGGTCCTCTTCGCCTTGGTTCATGGAATCCTGACCACTCATGTATGTATGACAGTATGACTCTTGGTTTGATGTATAACAATGCTCATGACATTGCCAACAAGGGAAACTTACCCAAGACTTTAGACTATTTAATGGGGCTTGATCATATACTGCCTATAAGATCAATGCAGTTGATAGGCCGTTTCCTGAAGAGGGTTTAGCTTGAAATCAAGGTTAGGGTTAGGCAGAAGATCATAAGTTAAAAGTGACCTTGGATAACATGGGAAGGACTGAAGTACAAGCTCGTGGTTATGATTAAAAATGTACTGGAAGTAGAGGAAAAAAACATTGATCTTGGTCTTTTTGGGCAGTAGAAGATCACTGCAAGTGGGTGAAAGAGATCTTTGTTAAGTCCACAGATTAAATGCAAGCTGAGACATTTCTGTGTGTTGCTTTTCCTGACCTGAGAGTAAACTTCACCCGGCAGCTCTCTTTTTTCTATATTGTGCCTATCGCACGGACAACTTAACCCTTTATTTTTAGGTTCATTTCTATTTTTATACATGCAATGCACGTATATAATAGTATGAAAGTTGCCTAAAGTTTTTTTTTTTAAAGATTTTATTTATTTATTTGACAGAAACATAGAGAGCGAGCACAGATA